AGAGACTCACAGAGAAAGTTGTTGGCCTCGGCCCACTCTTGTTGTAGTCGTTTTCCGGGTATCCGATTTCTGGCGGTACAACAATCCTGCAATGCCAAGCTTATTTATTACACTGATTCATTCTACCATAGAATCATTTGTATGAGACTCAGATTCTCTTCTTCTACAATTCATAGTCATGAAAGAGAATCAAGATTCAAGGAGGTAAGTTTGTGTTTACTATATGAACTTCCGAATGATAAACTTCCGAGTGAGAGATATTAGAAAAATGTCGAACCTTCTGATACCACCAATAGCCATCCCAGAGACAGCCTCCTCAAAAGCAGGTATCACCTGGAACACCAAAGCCATGCAGCAACCGAAAAGAAGCAACACATATAGAGTTGACGCTTTAAACAGGAAAAACAGATATACCTAGAAGTACTTAGAAATTGCACCCACCTCATGGGATCCCAAGGTAAATTTAAAGAATGACTTTTCATCCCCCTACATATTCACGAAAAGAACAAACAGATTAAGGACTGAATAAATGTTGCTAATGAAAGAACGTGAAAGCGGAACCGCGTTCATACCTCAAAAGAACCTCCTTTTGTTCTATTGCGAGCTTCAAATATGCGGCCATAGTAACCTATTGTGTAACCATCCCAGTCAACCTGACATACCCAGCTCAATTCTTTTATAACTAGTTATCTACAAACAAATTCTGGTCTTTGAAACATTACAATCAAACTCCAAACTTCTCTAACCATAGATATGCAGAAATTTCCTTACCACAACTTTTTCTCCCTTCTTTGGTTTAGGCCCAGTTCCTACTCGCAAATCCTGCACTCATCTCAAATCTCCAAGTCAAAAAGATGAACAAATCATCGCATAGTCTAACCAATAAACTATACAATGTACACTAATGAGGGGTGGTGACCTTATACTGAAGACCAGATTGTGTTTCTGTATAATCTGGATACTTCATTTTCGTTTTGCCGTAATCTTTCCCTCTAATCGCTGGCACTGCACACGAAAAGAACGTGGATCAGCATTCTAAAGAAACACATCTCTCTCAAAACCCAAAACTTCTGATAGTGACCAAACTAAAACAGAGCAATCAAACAAACAGCATTTCAAAATTACAAATGCCAATATAACTAACTTCATCTTGAGGTTATGCAATAAACGAAAGGCACAAAGGAAACTACTTTAATCGAATTCATTAACAATTACTTTAAAATGTTAACACTAAGAAAGATCTCTCTACCCTCTCAAAAGAAATTGAAAAATTCTTACTATCAGCGAATTGGGAAGCTAATGCAACATCTCCTCCATCTTTAGAATCGTATGCTAATGCTCCAATCAACAATCCAACAGAAGAAACCAACAATTTTCTGCGATCAAACTCTCCAGCACTATGAACACAACCACAATTCCCACCTGTTTTTCAAACAAATCAACAATACTTCAATTTACTATCGAGGCAATCAAATTTCGAGCTTGCACAGAGAAGGAAAGATAAAAGGGTACCAGAAGAGCGAAGAGGAGACAAGTCATCTGTTTGGTCGGCTAAGCGAGCAGACACAGTAGTCCGGCATCTCTGAGAATCAAAATGAGAGATTTCAGTTAGTGAATGAGGAGGAAGAAGAAGAGGAAGGAGTGAGATGGGTTCGGCGTCGTACGGTGGTGGAGGAAGCTCCGGTGAGCGATGTGGATTGAGGCGGAGACGGAGGAAGATAGCCAAAGGCTGAAATCGACGCCATTAAAGTTGCAAACTTTAAAAACGGAAATTTTGTAATGTCCAAGAGAGAGAGATAAGTTAGTGCCTCAGCTTTTTTATTTTGTAGAGACTTCTAGGCTTCTCACTAATTATTATTCCCAAAATTAAAGTGCACGAATTTGATGTAAAATTACATTTTCCAAAAATAAAAAGCTTAACAAAAATAATTGATTGGTACATTATCTTAATTGAAAAGTTTTTGGTAAAAATGTAAATTGCAAACAAATCTAAAAAACCTCCATTGAAACTTCATGCAAGAACAAAGATAAGAGACCATATTGTGAAACATCAAGCAAAAGCATTAAACGTAGAAGAAGAACAAAGCCAAAAAGCTTTTCTTTCTTTTTATTTTATTACCACCAAAAAACACAAAACGATGACTCAAACTCAAACAAGTTTCTTTCTCTTCAATGGCTGGTTAGTTTGAGAGTGTTGGCCTTGTCTTGAAGTGTGCCAAGAAGACTCTCGAAACAATTCTTGAACGATGCAACTCCTTCTTCTTCCAACTGTTGTCCCACCTTGTTCCAGTCTATTCCCAGCTTCTCTAGTGCACTGTATATCCCTTCCGCTTCCGATACATTCGCATCTATCGTCCTCTTCACGGTTCCATGATCTACGAATGCTTCCAGGGCTTGATCCGGCATGGTTGAAACCTAAAAACCGCACAATAAAAACAGAAATGCTTGTTTATCTTTGATCTTCAATATAGATCCATCATCTCAAAATATTTAACAAAACAAACAAAAAGATGACTTACGGTGTCAGGTCCGATGAGAGGAGCGACATATAAGGTGTCCGAGTAAGCTGGGTTCTTGACGCTTGTAGATGCCCAGAGAAGCCTCTGTTTCTTGGCACCTTTCTTCACCAGAGCTTCCCATCTTGGACCTGAGAACTTCTTCTGGTACAGCTTGTATGCTAATGCAGCTTGAGCCACAGCAGCCTGCAAGAGTAACATATCATGTGTCAAAAGATCATAGTCGATGATTCACAGTGGCTGCTGTAAGATTTTCAGGTAATGAACCGAGCTTTACCTTGCCGCGGAGCTCTAGGGCTTCTGGGGTACCAATTTGCTCAAGCATCTTGTCTATGAGAGTATCCACCCTACTGACAAAGAAGGAAGCAACACTGGTAACTCTTGAGAGGTCATTAAGTCCAGACGCCTCGAGGCCATCCAAATACGCATCGATCACTGCTTCGTATCTGGCGATTGAGAATATAAGCTGAAAAATAATAGAACAAGGATATATCAAATAAGACCATATGAGAAACAAGATTAAGCAAACGCAACATCCGTGCATCCAATTTCGATTTACGCCCTCGAACTCATCTAGTTTCAGATTTAAAACCTCCCTACAAATCTAGTAATCTAGCACACCATTACACTCTACAAGAGTTTGAAGTACTATTATAACTCATTTTACTTTGAGGTTCTTCAACACTTGCAATCATGACATGAATATAATGATACACTTTAGGAAACCTTACCGTGACATTGACACTTATTCCAGATGCAATGACATCCCTGATGGAAGGAATGCATGGAGCAGTAGCAGGAATCTTAATGTAGACATTACGACGGTTCACAACCTTGTGAAGAAATTTAGAAGCTTCAACAGTGCCTTCGGTATCATCAGCAAGCCTAGGCGAAACTTCAACAGAGACGTATCCATCCGCACCTTCTGTCTGGTCATAGATTGGCTCAAAAAGTTTGCAAGCATCCTGAATATCCTTCACCACAAGTTCCCAATACGCACTTTCAATGTCCTTTCCTGATTCCACAAGTGTCCTAATAGTGTATCCATC